AAAGTATGAAAAATATTCTTCAAAATATATACTCATCAAATTTATTTTTTTCTATAAATATTAGTGTTAATGTAATTATAATATATTAATATTTACTTTTAAGTGAACTATAGCAAATTATAGAATTCATTTAGATACTGAGTCATTAGTTTTTTTTCTATCATAAATGTATTTTCTAGCAATTCAATTTGTATATATAAGAAAGTATTAATTGATTAAATAAAAACTATATGACATGACTTCACCAGCTTTAATATAAAAATAATTTAAAATTATCATAATTTTTTTAAAAAGTATTATTTGTTGCTAGATAAAAAATAAATTATATAGTTTGTAATGTTATCAATAGAAAATATAATTTAAGTATTGTTTTAAAACTTAGTCAAAAAATAGTATTAATTATAAAAAATAATTTTTAAAAAAACTCTTTCTGCTAATTCTCTGACCATATACAAAAAAAGATATTTACAAGAAGTTTCTATACTTATTTGCTAATAAAATCTTAATAATTTCATTAAAACAACTTGAAGTATGACTTCAAGAGTCGCTTTTACTTTTTTTCATTTGTTTACAAACCTTTTCACTCAAAAACTTGACTTTAAGTGATCAAGAAAAGTCAAGTAACACCTTTAATACCAATGGCATGAAAGTTCTCAAAGAAAGAAAAACTGATTATGAAGTACCTAAAGATCTACAGTATTTAACTTTTGAAGCGAAAGGTATATAGAGATTTTTAATGACAAAAAAACTTATTTTTCCCCTTTCAGTTACTTGTAGGCCTCTTAGAACTATCATTTTTATAGTTTTCTGAGGAATTTTGCCTACTTTAGTTTGACCTTGAATTTTTAATAATACAAATTTTCATCAAAGGTAATTGGCTGACATGAAACATATTAGTTTTTGAAATATAAACAAGTTTCTATTGGTCACATTCACATGTTTCAATGACATTATTAATGATTGGAAAAAAGGTTCTGAAAATGGTTATACTCAAAAAATTCAAGTCCCTCAATAAAAACTTCCATGACACCAAAAGATTAAGAAATAAGTAATATGAATTGCAAATTCCCATCTTTTACCTAAGTTTCTCAAGTGGTGACAAAGCTTTAATAAAAAAAGTTGAGGTTTAAATCTTTCCTTGAGATATTCCAATCTGGTGCTCACTTAAATGAAAGACCAGTTGGATTGATTTGTTCGATACCACAAATGGTAAAAAAGAAAATTTCTTCTGAGGTTCAAGTGAAGCAAGATGACTATTTTAATCAGGTAAATTCCTTTTAAGAAGAGGTTGTTTTTATTTTTGGATTTTTTGATAAGTCTTGAATTGTCCCTTTTCCCAATTATTTTTCCCCTTTTCCCTTTTTAACTTAATAATTTATTGGTTTTCAGGTAATCAACAGTAACAAACTGTTGGTAATGATTCTAGTAGATAGAGATTATTATCAATCTATTAAGGGAGTAAAATATTGTTCTTAAAATTTGATTTATATTACTTTTGTATAAAGATGAATTAGTTACTTTGTGAAAATTTGTAAAATATTGTAAATTTTATTTCTATTTTTCAATAAAAACATGCCATTATGATATGATTGTGAGTTAAAAAAAAAATATTAATTATAAAAAATAAAGAGAAAATAAAAAAAGAATATTATAAAAATTATTGATATAATTAGATATTGATAGATCAATATACTTTAAAAATCCTTGAATAATTGATAATAAAAAATAAAGAAAAAAATAATGCAAAAAATAAAAATAAAGTTATATTAAAAAATATTAGTTATAGTAAAGAGTATATATGTATTAATATAGAAGCAAATAAATAATCATAGATTTAATAATTGTATTAATTTAAATTTAATAAAAACAAAATTTTTAAAGTTAAAAAATATTTTAAAAAATTTAAATATATATATTAATTTAAAGCCAAAAAATATTTTTAAAGAAAATATATTAATTAAAAGTTTTTTATTAAAATAAAGTCGATTTAAATAAATTTAATTAATTAAATTAAATTAAATCAGATTCGAATTAAATTAAATATAAATTAAATTAGATTTGAATCAAATTGAATTGAATCAGATTCAGATCAAATTAAATTAAATCAATTTGGATTCAAATCAAATCAAAATAAATTTACTTAAAATCTGATTTAATTTGATCTATTGCAATTAATATCTAGAGTCATAAATTGATAAGGATAGTTGTATATTTAGCTTTAACACCACATATCTGAATATATATATGTAAAATTTACTTTTGTTTAATAAAGCACACATAACTAACCTGACAGAGGGTTATAATAAAAAAATAAACCAAAATAAAAAATTTTAATTTAATTAATTTATTATTTAAATTATTATATTTATTAAAGGACGTTTTTTGTGACCAAAACCAGACCAAATTAATTAATAAATTCTATAAGACCGGTTTTATTAAGGACTGAAATAGATCGACCTGAACTAGTCCATCACTATCTAGAATAAATATTTTTAAACTTCTGGTAGCTTATCCGGTAAACTATATTCGCAAGGGTCATATCTTCGCATATACGGGATCACGTGATTGTCGGCCTTATACATTTAATTTATGGTACTTAACTCTTATTAGATCATTTTATAATTAAATTGTTAGTAGTAAAATAAAAACAACTCACTGGAAAAAGAATCTCACCCTCAAATAATCAAATGTATAAATCGTAATTGAAATAGAATAACCACCAGCAATGCTACATTGAAAATATCATGCTGCAAAAACGATACTTATATATTATAAAAGAACATTGATAAATAAAAATTCTTTTACTTCTGATTAGGTGAGCGCGATCTTATTTCTCAACCAACTCGCCGTCAATATTAAAACATTCGTAAATATCGCTAGGGCATTTCACCCACTGTCCAAATTTTTGGGATCTCAATGCTTGTTTCGCAATCTGGTAATTTTCACACGACAGCTTGAGTCTAGCGTAGGAGAGGCTTTTAGGCGAAGATTCCAGAAACAGTCTATTTCTCGTTGATTAACAGTTTGCATCACAACACCTCACTAATACTTGCACATAATTGATAATCAAAACCCACCTTAGTCCAAATGAAACATTATGACTTGGAAGTAGGCTTAACAATGATACGATGTTCTGGAACAAATTCAATTTTGTCACAGAACACCTGTAAAAGGTATCGATTACATCATTATATTTTGTATGGAACAAATCGAGAAAATATAATATTAATCTTGCCTAGTTTTATGAGAATATAATCCTGTTTTCTTTGATCTGATGGCTCCTTGCTTTCTGCCAGAAACAAGAACCTCCGCTGAGTTGAAACCTTTGACCCACACCGTCGCTGAAATCACATACGTGAGAATGAAGAAAATATTGCTTCGTCACGAAAGTTGAATTATAAATCTATGGTGTACCTGTACCCGAAGGAATTAGATTTCCATTAGGAAAAAGATCGGACAAGAAACCATTCGATCTTTCAAATTTTTTTGTGGCAGGAATAATTATCGGTCTATGTAATAAATATCCATCTGGCAGGTCTATAATAATGAAACCAGTTCGTGAATGTCACATGTCACGAGAGTTTCTACAAATAATCTCTAGGGTATTACTTGACAAATCCTGAATTCGCCCGTAAAACGCTCGTATCAAATCATCCCGAAAGAGGAGATCACCGACGATAACGGTTGATAAATAGATCGGTGATATCAATTCGGAGAGGGGAGCCGATTGTAATCCTACTACATTCCACAGAGCAATCTTATCGCTGAGGTGTAAGACAGAATATTTTAAGATACAGAAAGCTTTGGATTTACTTAATGATTCGTGAGTTCAATACCTGCAAGACATCGATAAGGTGGGCTCTGAATCAACTCTTCCTATAACCACATTGATGAATACTAGTTGGGCGTGCAATTTATATATTTTAAGGAAAACAACCTGGCTTGGTCCTTAACACTCCAAGAGAATTATAATCTATTCTCCCTCTCCGAAAGCCATCCTTCCCTTTAAGAATTGTGATCTCATTGTTATCCGACTTATTAACCGAGATTTTATCTTCATTTCGCAAGTCAGCATACGAATTCATGTACATCTCAGCCTCTTCGGGTGATTGATGCGAAGCCAAACTCTTTGTGGTGGCATCACCGCCTGGTTATACTTGGTGCATGAATTATATGTATCATATGCAGTATATTTTTTTTCACCACTTACAGGGTGCCTGACTCACATACAGGTGAAATGATGTGGTGCCGTTTTTCAACTCGAACGGTGGATGCCCGTCTTTCGTACAAAAATATGTTGACCCTGATCTTAGGGCCAATCCTAATTCGTTTATAACAAATCTTGTGCATGCGTGAAGATAATTTAGCCTTTGAAGTTTGCAACACAATAAATAATGTTTTATTGATTATTCTAACTTGCTTAACTTGACAAATCCTCTTCGGGCTAGCACTTCCGCATGACTATCATGAATCAAGTCACCGATCCTGCTCAGTTTACTTTGTGGGAGACATTTTAGACCACTTCTGTAAACGTTACGTGTATGACGAAAAATAAATGTTTAACGTATAACTACGTGTTGCAGAGTGTTTCCTTGAATGAAAGATTACCCCAGGGAAACACATTCAAGATAATACTCTCCCGTATCTAATTCCAAGAGTAAAATATTAGCACCATTTGTTAAATTTTTAAGATTATTGAACTTTCCAATTTAATACCTTTTATATGACAGGCCACTATACCCGCGAGTATCGTCCACTCTAATTCATTCTGTGCAATTAAAGGCTTTCCATTTTTTCCAATGGTTCTGTATTTCTGATGGCATAACTCCGTTACCTCAGAAGAAAATTTTATTGGGTCATTTTCCCATGGATTAAATGATTGTGCCATAATTAAGTGCAACGCGGAACCGTGAAATCGATCGACAGATTCGGATGATCCACGTCTATTATCCTGATTTATTATTGGTTGCATGTGGCTTCAACGAAAAATTTTTTTTTTTTTAATCCGTGCGCGTGCTCTGTTTTTCACGATCATAATCCCACGAAGAGATGTTTTTGCATGAGTCGGGGAGTGATTGATCCGAATTTTTATCAGAGGTTGTGTGATACGAAAATTCTGGATATTTTGAATTTGGATATATCACGGCTTCGGTTTAGAGGAAGCATGCTAGATTTTAGTATCTCCTTTGCAAAAAAAAAATAAAAAAAAATCGATTCATCAGTTAGGTAGAGAATTTCTCCAAGGAAATGATTTTGAATTAACAATTAATAAACTAAACACAGCCCTAAATTTATGAAATGAGTGGCACATTGTATGTAGTGTATTTTTTGCAACTTCTCCATGAATTAATCTTAATAGCGATAATGACAACGATTGCTTCCATTTTCAAATCGCTGATATTGTTTCGCGAAAAAGCTGAAGCTTGTATTTTCTTTAGATGGAAATCTTTTGTTGTCCTTTAAATCTCGTTTGATTAATGCTTTAGTCGTGGACATTAAAATTGCACAAACAAGTTTAACCCGTAAACTATGACAACATAAATCTCTGAATGAAAAGCCATCATACGTGGTGTTTCAGTAAAACAGTGGCTGTGCATTAGTTTTTTTTCGTTTCCCTTTTTTCTTTTATTAGTGTCCAACATTTTTTTTAAAAAAGAAAATCTTTGTTTGATATTCTTCATCGTCTTAGTGACTTCTAGAAGCAAGACCACTTATTCTTGGGGAAAAGGAAATGGGTTATCTTAGAACATTAATAATCTCATATCTGGGTGCACAATCCGCTTTCCTGATACTCCTTTGTCCGATTCTAGGTAATAACGTCTTTTCCGGCTTTCGAATTTATCTGTTCTCTAATTGTGCGCGTCAATTTTATCCATGAAGAAATCTCGAAAATTATTCTTTTTTCACAAACCGAGGGTGAACTCGAGTTAAACATGGCGGTTGAGAATCTGTAAGATTTCTCTTGTTCAATATCTCAATATCTCCGTACATTCGGGTCAGATGATGAGAAAGGTTAATTATATTGATTTCCTGATTTAATGACAGATACTTAAATGCCACCCTCGTGCTAATATGTAAGTGATGTGGAGTGATTCGATCAACTAACATTCATTTATCCTGTCGACTAAATCTTTCGTGTAAATTATAGTTGGCATCACATATTACACGATTTTTGATTGCTTCGGAGAAACCTACAACATCAGCCTGGCACCTCCAAAAATGTATTTGCAAAGTCTTTCTTTCTTTCTTTCTTTCTTTTCTTTTCTTTTCTTTGGACTGATACGAGGTTACTCGTAAACCTTCGCAAAGATTTTTGCTTTTCTCATGGATAATAATACCAGGTATAAACAAGTTAATTTACGGTATCCATAAATGTTCAATTTTCATTAATCCTCCACGCGCAACTTCAATCAGTGATTTACACGTACTGTACGTTTACGGAGATGAAGGATATTCCTTTCACTTGTCCGGATGACTATGACTACGAGGAACCTATAATCCGAACGGCGTGTCAAATTAGAGCCGCTAATTTCGTTTGCATGTGGTTATTTTCCTTGACCTTTATACCTTTCATAATAACCATAAGTGTAGTGCGCATCATCCCTCTGCAAGAGGCCCTAAAGTATCATCCATACACGCGTTATAAATATATGCATAGTGGTGATCATCTTAAGCAAAAGTCGGTTATTTTCTTTTAGCTTCATCTTATCCGCGAGTAGTATAAAATATTAGATTGTTACTATCCTTTTCTGTTAATCAAATTAAACATACGCCATAGTATATGATATCACTATGTACAGTATTTATGATCGTGATGTTATGATTGTGTCATTGGCAATTCTTTTTCAGCTTATATATACTCCAGATTCTATTTACCCATCTTTTGTTCTTACCCTCCAGTAAAGCCTATGATTGTAGAAAGGAAAATTTGTGCAAACGACGAAGAAAGAGTCGTACTAAATGTTGGTGGCATTAAGGTGAGCTAATGTTGTGTAGATGTGCATTATCACCAGCTAATGTTTTTTTTTTTTTTTATCGTAATAAAAGTATGAAACTTTAAGATCAACCTTAACTGCCTACCCAGATACCTTTCTTGGTGCCATGTTTAGTGAACGCAACCAGGAAATGCTTCATCCCACTAACGGGAACGAATACTTTATTAACAGAAACAGACGAGCATTCTGCTATTTTATCGAACTGGAAATGGGATCCGAACATTAGCCACCAACACTTGAGGATGAAAAAGATTCGACAAAGGACAATCAAGTCAAAAAGGAAACAAATATAATTTCATAAGTTGCATCTAGAGAAGCGTAAACTTCAAAACCTTCAATAAAAGTGAATTGTGTATATTATACAATAAGGACACATGTTAACCCGATGTCGAGTTAAAAAAAAAAAATCAAATAGTATGAATATTATTAAAATAGTTAATACCATTTGAATTTTTATTCATATATATAAATTATAGAAATACAATTTTCTTAAAAATATTGCGTAGAATAATAAATTTATTCATTTAACGGAATGCTAATAAAAATAATACAATGTAATGAATGCAAACATGTAATGCAATAATATATTCTATAAACCTACTTCAAATATGACGTCTAAAAGTTGGAATTAAGCCATAAATCACATTATTCCTTCAACATCACTCTTACCGTCAGGAATTGAAACCCAATTCGGGGAGAGAATGAACACTTTGTTGGCAAGTATTCATTCACAATATATTATCATCGCCTTTAATTTATGTTGCGCGTTTCTTATGGCCTCCGAAGTAACTAACCTCCAGTTCACTATATATCGGCGCTACGTTTCTTGCCACCACCATTGTAAGCACCCCCACTTCCCTGCGCGTCGGCACTACGTTTCTTGCCGCCTCCATTATAAGCACCTCCACTTCCCTGCGCGTCGGCACTACGCTTCTTGCCGCCTCCATTATATGCACCTCCACTTCCCTGCGCGTCAGCACTACGCTTCTTGCCGCCTCCATTATATGCACCTCCACTTCCCTGCGCGTCGGCACTACGTATATTATATTTAGCGTCGCCAGGACGTTGTATGTTTATACGACTTTTATAATTAGAAATACAAATTCTTGCACAAAATAACTTTTCTGCACATCTTAAACGCAAGGTGCAATTGTCGCATTTAACGTTTTCTGGTAATTTTATATTAGCTTGTGCAATTCCTCCCTTTTTATAGGCATAATTCAGAAGTGTTCCGATATTTCTAAAGTCTGTATCCCTGCCAGTTACCGACAGATCAACATGAAATTGTTCCTCCCGAGTGGGATCAACCTCCCACTTCATATTAACCATTTGACCCATAGCATAATGAGTGACTATGGAAGAGCCACTTTCATCTCCGCAAAGGAATGATGGAGGTGTGATAATGGAACCTTGACAAGCTGTAACAGCTGTAAGGAATATAACTAAGAAAAGAGATTTCATGAATAATGATATCGAAAGGATATTAAGGAAAGTATGTTATTATAATATGAAGTGTGCTCCTCCGGGATATATTAATTCTTTCAATAATGAAGTGAGTCAATGGAAGAATTCTTAAGCTAGTTTTTATATAAACAAAGATAACACAAATTGATGATTGACAGGAACTCCTTTGTGCACACAACAAAGCAATACGTTGCGTTGTTTTCCCTAAGCAGCGAACAGGTTTCGGAAGTACTAAATCATGCATCAGTTTGTGATCCCTATTTTATACATATGCGCACTAAATTTCTTGATTGGTATGCATTCTTTCCAAAAGTAGCAAATAGGTTTCCATCTTTGTGATCATGCATACGTACCGATACGACATTTTATTTCCGCACAAAAAGAACCTAAGTAAAAGATGTTATTTTTTCCTGTGTATCTAGAAGATAATTGACAACTATGTTGTTCGGAGCCTCGCATTTGTCACTTGATTAAGGACTGTTCTATTTATTATAAAGAAAACTATAGAAAGATTGTATCAACAAAAGTGAAAAAAATTTAAGAAAAAGATTTGAAATAAATGCTATAAATTGATAATTAAGTAGAAAAAGACTTTGGGTATTGATAGAAAATCTAAATGATATTGAGTTCTGAAGAACAAGTTTGAAAACACAAAATATTTAGAAGAAGAAAATAGTTTTCAATTAGATAAAATATTATTTGAAAAACAATCCAAAGATATAAATTGTAAGGAAATTATTGAAAGATAGATAGTGAAAAGGGAAAGTGGAGGTGCATATAATGGAGGCGGCAAGAA